AATGGACGGATCCATGGAGGTGGATTGCGGGTCAGGTCTTCCCAGGTGATGATGTAGGCGGGATTTTCATGGAGTTCTGCATCAAAAACTTTGTCTTTTACCTGCAAAATAACATTCAGTTTAAATATGCAGTCCCAGGGCCAAACGGCATTGAAAGTTGGCCACTCAGAGCTGCAGAGTCTGCCATTTCTTCTTTTTAACATCCATGGATTTGTTGTATGCTCAAGCTAAGACATCATTCCAATGGTCTAGAGTCAAACTTAAGGGGGTGGTTAGGGATTGTCCCATTTATTAAAATTTTTCCAACAACAATAAAGGACAATTATAACAGAGACAACGGACAAACAGCAGGCCAGACGCCACGTGGCACAGAACCGATCAGAGATCAGATTTACAGACAGAGGGATGGGCACTAGCTCATCCTCCAACTGGGTGGCCTGTTCACCCCCCCCCCGATATTGAGCAGGCACCGAAAATCTGGGACCCCAAACACCCTGGGACGTCTCCAAGTGAGTATGGAATTCATCAATTCCCTCACTGGACACCCCTCAGATTCAGATGTGTGCACACCAGACCAGAACAGTGAGACAGAAGAACAGATAGACAAGACAAGGGGTACCCAATCAAGTTCAGTCTTGGAGAAAGAAAGGTGAAAACATACACAAATTTAGACATGCAAGCAACAAGAGCAACATTAAGCAAGAAATGCCTACTAAATACTCATCCAAGGGTAAATGGCATGGTACCAAGATTACTCCAATAGCTCTCCTATTCCAGAAAGTCTAAGTCTTGTACCTAATGTGCTCCAAATATAGTAAGAGAAGATATTAGTTGTGACTATCTAGTCTTTACCTCATCACACACCTGAGAAGGAAAATAACATTACTTGGGTAAGCAGGAAGTACAAGAAGGTGACTTCCCAAAGTTTTAAGAAATGACAAAAATGGTTGGATGCCTGGATAGTTACTCAAGATATCATAGTAATGGCTTGGCAATCAACTTTGGCTAAGGCCTAGGATATCTCAAAGATCATTACCACAAGCAAGAAAACTCGAAAGACTGTCCTGTCACATCTTGGAATTATTTAGTGTTCTTTTTTGCCTCTTTCCTGCTTATCCAGTTATGACCCATTGTCAGCTGTGGCAGGCAAGGGTGGTTGTTTTCCCACAGGCCAGTTTTACCAAGAAGAAAACAAACTCCAAATGAAGGCTCTCCAGTGCCCACAATATTAACCAGGATATTTCCATGTTGTCAGGAGCAACTCTGCCTCATGTCAAGAGCATTCTAAATTATTAAAACATATAAATGCCATATTATATTGGTCTTGGGAGTCTTTGAAGATCAAATATCTATGCTCAGTATATCTCTGAGCTTCTAGACAACCTGATTAAAATAATAGCTAGATATGAGGAGCACAGTTTACTATAACCTTTAAATAACATATATTGCTTACTGACTGAAGCATTATATATATATATAACTGTAGACAGATTGTAGCATGAAGACAATGACCTGGAAACTAGGGTGATCTAGCCTAACTAATAAACAGCTAGGGTGTGAAGGACAAAAGTCAAGAGCAGAAGCTGGAGGTATGACACATACTTTAAAAACATTTTCTGCTTTCTCACATGGCACCTAACAACTATTGATGACGAGGGACCCAAAGCCCTCTTCTGGCCTCTGCAAGCATAAGGGACAATTGCAATATCATGAGCAAAGGTGGTTATAAAAAGCTATTTTCCATAGTGATTTGTTGTGTGTTTATTATTGATGGTGTATACAAGAAAAACAGTCATGTAGATTTCGTTTCCTGGTATCTTTTATTAAATGATTTTATTTTTTGAATGATTTTATTGCTCAAGGGTGTATAGAGCAATATATTTATATTTCTCAATACTTTGGTCCTTATGACCAAATTACTGCATCTTTAGTGTGTCTTTAGAGTACCATATAACAGGCATAGCTAAATTCATAACAATGTGGATACAGAATGGAAACAGATTCCATCACAAAGTCTGTATCCAAGGTCTAAGTTCTGCTATCTGCACTCAAGGCCAACAAATGCTGGCTGGCCCATTCTTCATGGAACTTGCAGAGATCCACCAATACATGTGAGCTGTGGGGATATAGGTGTGTGACACCATAGCTGAAGAAAGACTTGTATTTAAGTGTGAACAGTTGCAAAACAAATTTTTTCCAAAAGGAGCTTTAAAATGGCAGTCAATACAACCATGGAATAGCCTTAACAAATTATGAAAAACAATAACAAGAACAAAAAAATCTCATCAAAATGCTTAAACTAACAAAACAACCAAAAGCAAAAATGTAAACCAAAAACCAAAGGAAAAATAAGATAAACAGCAATCTCTTGCCACAGTTTGAAAGGTACAGACTTACAGCCTGGGGTTGGCCTTGCAAGGAAGTCATCAATTTTAACAGGTTTTTCAGGATGAGTGTAAGAATTCTCCTCTTTCTTCTGAGGCGTTCAGTGCTTTCTGGGTGGGGCTTATCAGGTGGCTCTTGCTGAAACAGCTCCTTCTGCAAGAGGCTCTCATCCTGAGCAGTTGCAGCTCAGGCTGTAGTTCTGTGGACCTGGGAAAGGAAAGCATTTAAGACACATGCCAAGTGGGAACCTACTGCTTCAAGCTCTGCCCTACCTCCACCTCAGCTGTTCTGGACAGTAAACACTGATAATTTTACTGATGTCATTGTTGGTACCCACATAGAATAAAGATAACAGAGTAGCTGGACATGTAACTTTTCCCAGTCCTAAACACATGTCATGACTTAAACTAAGAAGTGTGTTTTACTTTCTAGTAGAAAGAATAGGACCTTCTCCTACAGTTCAGGTACAACATTTTGCAAATAACAACAGCATATTAATACAACAGTCAACAGCATATGGGTAATACACATGTTCAACATGATGAGTTATTGATTGACTACATCATTTTATACATACGTATAATACAGCCTTGCTACATGAAACCTGATATAGTTCATGAGGCTAGTTCAATTCTTGTATGGAGGAGGTACCTTGAACATAAACAGCACACAAGATAGAGCCTATCATGATAGAGAAGCATTTCCTGAGATTGTCCCTCTGAACACTTGCCCTGCCTGGAACCTAACGGATACTTTCATGGTCTTAGGACTAGAGCTGGAAATCCACATGGTCACTCACTCTGGGAGGCTGTGACAAGAAACTCCCAAAAGGGATCAATCTTGACTATAGCTGAGGCATCTATTGGTTTCCACCTGGAAAGTCCTTACCCTACTCTATCAAGAGAACTATTTGCACAGGAAATGGGTAAATGTTGAAGACAGAAGTGCTCAGAGTAGGAAGCTCTTCTCTACATGGGAGGTTCCTAAAAAATTTGTGATTTTAATCAGACCAGGTGATGCACATCTTCAAATCCCATCAGTTGGTAGGCTGAGGAAGACAAATCTCTGTCATTTCAAGAAACTCCTGCTCAGAACATAGAGAGGTCAGAAAGCAGGAAGAGAGAGAGTTCTACAGATACACTGATATCAAATGTATAGTTTACTGGATGGAAGTTCTTGTTGAGTGAACCAGTACATTTCTCTGAGGTAGTCTTTCCCTGGTAGTGGCTGAGATCCATGAATGTGAGAGGAAGTCCATAAATGGTACAGATACCAGGATCAAGAGAAACACTTGGCTCTACCTCTTTCCCCAAGCCTAGGCTCCTACCTCATCTGGGAGACATAAAAGGGATGCTGCATCTTTTCTGCCAAATCTTTTTTCAGAAAGACCATCTCCTTCTGTGTCAGTAGGAACTCAAGTCTTTCCTCTAATCTCTTGAATTCCTGTTCATTAGAAGATTGTGTTCTTAAGGAGGGATACACAATGTCATACAAATAGAAACACATACAGAGGACCCCAATAGCTTGCTGGGCATGATGGTCTGTAAAACACTAAGCAACCAGGATAGTAAGAAATGCTGATTCAAGGTAGAGACTGACATCAAAGCCTGTGGTCTCCTAGGCCAATGCACAAATGAATGAAACTACACAAAAATATAATCTCTCCACCCTCTTTGTCTCTGTCTCTCTTTCTCACACATGCATGCTCACAGAAAACACACACAAGAAGAGAGAGAGTTAGAAGGTGAGAGAGATAGGGAAAAGGGATCTAGCAGGAAGAAGCAATATGACAGATGAGCAGGTGAGTTCAGACTAAACATTCCAACTCTTTTAGAGTAGTCTCACAACTCAGCCATTATTCCATGGAGCTGAATACTACTGTGGATTATGTGATATTTTCTCATATCCATTATGTTGATCTCATTAGAGAATTTTCCCCTGAAGGCTCAAATCTCCCCTTTTCCAGCATCAGTTTGTCAAAATCTCCCAGCTGATCAATCAATCAACCCAGGCGAAATTGTGATGGATGGGGAAAATGTCTGTCACCAAACAGGGAGGACATCCTGCTACAAAGGCTCAGTCTCTCTGAAGCAAGTGAAGAGAACACATTTGGAAGCAGGAAAAGAGGAAAAGAGGAGAAAGTCACATGTCACCCAAGCCACTGACTATGAAGCAAACATTTGGCACTTGCATGGGGTTCTCCTCCTTGCAAACTGATTCCTACTATGATGTCACAATAGCATTGCCAAGAAATGAATCTCAGGAACCAGAGATCACTCACTCCAAGTTCTGTGCATAGAGTCCTAACTATTATCATGACATATAGGTGTGTGATATTTACTGACCTATCCAAATCACTGGACTGCAGCTTCAAGCAGAGCAGGAGGCATGATGTACAAATAATTGAGTTTCCTAAGAGGCTAACTCAGCATAAGTAATTGTACAAGGACACTGAATTGAATACTCTGATGTTATGAGTAGTTGACTGGATAGGAGCATGGATGAGTAACTGATGTAAAAGCACAGATGGGTGGATGGACAGATAGGCAGTCAAATGGCAGAATGGTGGAGACCTGCATCTGTACCCCTACCTGTTGCTGGATTTTCATGTCACTGCTCTATTTGTCTTGGTCTTTACAGATAACATTCAAGTCCTCCGAATGGTGCTTCAGCAGGACCCAATCCTCCTGCAGTTTCCTTTTCTCCTGCTTCAGCATGTCCACCTTCTTGTGCACCTGAGTCTCTTCCATCAGGAGCCAGCTGTGTAGACCTCTGGAGACACACTCTGCATTGTAAGGCCCTGCAGCCTCCCTCTGCCACCCCTGCCTCCAGTAACCACCACCCCAAATGGCCTCATGTTTCCAGAAAGACACAGCCAAGAGTCTGATTCAGATGTGACGACTGAACTCAGGAGGCCAAAATGAGGAAAAAGATACTACCAGGTATAATCAAACTACTCTGGATAACCCCAACACCAAAAGGGATCCATGTCCTTTCAATAGAAAATGGATTCCCCTACCTGTCCAGGGTAAGAGGAAACATCAGCAAGTAGTGGGCAAATCCCCACCAAGTGTGGACAGTAGGCTATGGTTTTCATTTGGAGAAAGCAGTGAAGTTAGGATCCCCATTTGACTCCCTCCAAAGTTTCAGGTCTGCCTCTCCTCTGAGAAGAAATTAGGTCATGAGGCAACTACAGAGTCACTTGGAGGTGCAGCCTTCTAGAACCTAAGTACTTTTTGTAAATCAAAAGTTTTTATTTTAACAGCACGTTTTTCATTAATTTTCCATACTACCCACAGTTTCCCCTCTGTCCTACTCTCCAGTCTCCCCACATTCACCCTGCTTCCTATTTCCCTCCTCTAGTCCTCCATCATCTCCACTCAGAAAGGTGCCAGCCTCCAATGGGCTTGAGCAAAGGATGGAGCTCCTTGTTTTGCATCAAGGCTACATAAAATAATCCAGCATGAGGAAGAGGTCCCACAAGCAAGCTGAGGTCCAGAACAGGTCTTGATGTAACTTATAGGATCTTACACCAAGTTACACCACAGTGACACACATGGAGAAGACTTAGGTCAGTTCCATGTAGGTTCCCTAACTGTTGGTGCAGAGTCTGTGAGCTCCCATGAGCTAAAGTCATCTGTCTCTGTTGAACATGAGACCTCAAAAGAAAGGATGTTAGATTGAATGTGGGCAGTCCTGTGCAGTATGAAACAATGGACACCTATTATCCCCAGTTCTTTCACTGATAAAGAGCAGGTGATCTCATAGTTCATTCCTCTGGCCATTCATCAGTTGCAGCTCTGTGGTCAACCTTTCTATTTCCTTCTTCACTTGCTTCTTGGTGAGGAGTATTGGCTGGGATGATGGATCCATAGCAACCTCTGTGGGTAGATGAACACAAGTGAAATTGCACAATGAGAAGGCACAGAGAATGGAGAGACCACCCTGAGATCCAAACAAAGTTCCTGTCTGGACTCCAGTGACAATCCAATAATTTTGGGTCAGGTTGAGATGCTCCCTGTGTGGATCACAACTCTCCCAACACTCTGTAGAGATGTGGTTATATAAGCAGTCAAGGATTTCCTTTATCTTCCCACACATTCTTCAGATGAACACAAAGACAGCCTTTCAGAATTAATTACAGTTGCACAGAATGCAGCATGGTCCATAGCCCTGAAACCTACCTGTCTTTTCAAAAGCCAGGAGACATGGCAAAGTGCACAAGCACTGAGGAGCTGTGTGGAGCCCAGATCTCCTGCCCATTCATTCCAGGTCCATGAATGAGGACTGGAAAGTCATGCAGGGACACAACATGGTCAAAATATTCACCAAGTCACCCCACACCACTGATGGCCAAAAACATAGGAGCTGGCATGAAGGAGACAATTGCTGCACTAGATCCATGCCTCTGACAGTTGTTTGACTACATGAGAGTATTGACTGCCACTCTCAACTGCTGAATCAGTAGCCTAAGGAGACCACTGTCAGGGAGATGTGAATAGAGGAGTTCTGCGGTACAGTCTGAGGACATAAAGTCTTAGCCAGAAGTACTGTTCTTTCCATGTGACTGGTGTCAGACAGTCACTGCACCCAAAGGAAACTACTGAGCATAAAATGCAGTGATGCCTGCCCAAATCTGGGGACACATCAGTCCCTACTGACCAGATGGTATCCTTTTGTTCCCACATTACACCCCCAAGTGTGTCAAGTTTAAAAGCTAGGTGATCCCAGCACAACACCCTTGGCCTTGCCCTGTCCTAGCTTAGGGAACAGACAAACTCATGGTCTGGAATCATGGACTATCAGGAAATATGGTAAGTCCATTTGCTTACCAGAGGGTCCAAATTCTCTGTTTCATTACTGGAAGTCCCAGCTCAAGCCCACCTCCTCCAGGAACCTCCCCATCTCCTGCCCAGCAGTCATTGTGCCTAATCCAGGACCACTTCTTTGTTCCTGCTTTATTTTGAGACCTAACAGCAGCTTCTTTCTGCCTCTCTCTGGTCTCTGGATGTTCTCTCAAAAGCAGATACCTCTGTCATGACAACATCTCTAATGATAATCCAGAGAGTCACTGAAGTAATGCCCTATGTACAGTTGGTGTTGCTACAACACTGGTGACATCATGGAATGCCATGAGTTCTCCAGGATACAATAGACTGTGCAGGGAAGGGACTGCTGATGTCATAGAGAACAGCCTTTGCCACCCTGCTAATTATCATTCCCTGAATGAACCAAAATCCCAGGCTCCCTCTCCAGGACCCTGTCTTGGAATAGGGGTAAGCCATCCAGCAACTCTTCCTTCCAAATCCAGTTTCCTTAGCTTGCATGCAAGCCCACAGTACTTCCCATGTGGAGAACTTAGTAGACACAGTCCACCATGGTGGTCACCCACAGCCAGGACAGCACTGGGAGCAAACCCCATAGGACCCCTTGGGGACAAGGAGCAGATGTCCAAATGCCCATACATCTCCACCTCATTAAGCTGAGCACTGCTTGGGAATGAAACAATGATAGCTACTTGATTGGGGATGAGATAATCTGCATTTTGACTCAGATCTGATAGCAGAATTTCAGCAACTCGCTTTTTCATGTTTTAAAACTAAGCTATGGACACAGGCTCTGTGTGGGAAACTGGTGCCCACTCCCTTCCATGTTCCTGTATATATGAGTGAGGACAGCCCTCTCCCAGCTTTGGTGAGCTGCACTGAAGGATGGTGGTGGTCAGTTTGAAATCATCTCATGGAGGCCTCTGCAGGTACTGTGAAAGGCACAGAGTCCCCAGTCTGTGTCCCCCAAGCAGCAAGATCATGGCTGAGACCCCTGCAAACCACACATGGGGATGGGAACCACTGCAAGAACCAGTGCGGCACCCAGCTTTCCAAACCCAACAGAACTCCCAGACCAAGGTCCCTGGAGCCTTCCTGACACAGGGTCCTGTATTTAGGATCACCCAGAGAGTCTTTCCTCCCTTCCTATAGATGGAACAAAAATGATCGGGAACAGTTGCCTGTCCATCCTTGGGCAACAGAGATCAGAGAGGGATCTGAGATAAACTTCCCAGAGAACAGGGAACCACATTGCAAATCACAGTTGTTTCATCCATTTATACACTCATTAATCCACTGACCAGTCTTTTCCCATGCCCATGTTGTGCCAGACTCGGGACCAGGAACGGGAGACAAAGCACCAACCAAACTTTTTCCCCAAAGGGAAAGAGGGGCCAGTGGAGAGAGGTTATTAGGGGGATCCCTGGAGGAGGTGGCAAGGACTGACAAGAGAAGAGGATCCCTGCTAGTGGGGACAGGGAGAGGTAGTGGCTAAGCAGGACAGTGCTCACCAGGAAAAGTTGGAAAGTGAGAGGCAGCCTTTTGTGTAGGTTGGAGTACACACAGCCATGTGGGACAATGACTGGGAGTGCAGCCTAAGGATATTGTCACAAGTACTATTCCTTGTAGGGCTGGGGAGGATCATCAGGAGAAACAGGAATCCCCTCACCTTGGCTGGTATAGGGCCTAGACTTCTCATTTCACTGGAATGGTTTGGTACTGCCAGGAGGGAGACCCTGGCCCCCAGCAGAATCCAGCTACTAGTTAATGCCCTGATGGCAGAGAGAAAATACCTTTGGTCCAGCCATGAAATATATCAGCAGAAGCAGTTTACGAACATAACATCCTACCATTAAAGGCACTCCTCGAGGGCTTGTGCTTTAAAGGTGCTAGTTTCTACCTGCTAATGAATTTAGCTCATCTATATTTTCAAGATGTCTACAGAAGTGCCTGGAATAGTTTGTGATCTCAATTCCATAGCACTGTAAGATTTGTGAACTTTTGTTTTTATCATTGTCATTTAATTTATCTATTTGGGGAGGGGTCAGACATATGGATTATGTGGAGTGTGTGGAAGTTGGAGGACAGCTTACAGGATTTGATTCCACTGTGTGATTCCTCTGGATACAATTCGAATCACCAGATGTGTATCATTACATCATGAACCATCTCACTGGCTACCACAGTCACTTTTTTCCCTCAATGTATGTGTTATTTAAATTAGAAACATGAATGCTTCACATGTCAATCCCAGATCCCTCTCCCACCCCTCCTCTCTTGTTCCTCCACCAGCCCCCCTTCCAGTCCCAAACCCAATCCCCATATCAATCCCAGATCCCTCTCCAACCCCTCCTCTCTTGTCCCTTCACCAGGCCCTCCAGCCCCAAACCCAATCCCCATATCAAGAAGCCCCCCTTGGGGGATCTCCAGAGTCTGTCATTTCATCCAGGGCAGGACCTAGGCCCTTCCCCAAGTGTCCAGGCTGAGAGAGCATCCCTCTATGTGGAATGTGCTCCCAAAGTTCATTCGTACACCATGGTAAACACTGATGTACTACCCAAGACCCGAGAGATTTCTGAGGCATCCTCACTGACACCACATTCATGGAATCTGGATCAGTCCTCTGTTGGCCTCTCAGCCATCAGTTTGGGATTCAAGAGCTCAATGTTTTATGGTCAGCTGTCTTTGTGGGTGTCACTAGCACAGTCTTGACCCCTTTGCTCATCACTCCTCCATCTCTGTCGCTGGTTTCCATGGGGTCAGTTCTGTGTTTAGCTGTGGGTATCTGTCTCTGCTTCCATCAGCTACTGGATGAAGGTTCTAAGATGGCATATAAGGTAGTGATCAACCTTATCATCGAGGAGGGGTTATTAATGTAGTCTCTCCCCTATTGCTTAGTTTGCCAGTTGGTGTCATCCTTGTAGATCTCTGGAGATCTCATTAGTGTCAGCTCTCTCCTCAAAGCTATAATGACTCCAACTATTATGTTATCTCTCATCCTGCTTTCCTCTATTCTTCCCTCAACTCAACCTTCCTGCTTCCCCATGTCTTCTTCTCTCTTCCTCTTCTCCCTCTCCCCTCCCCCGATGTTCCCAATCTGCTCAGGAGATCTTGGCTCATTCCGTTTCTCTGGGGTTTCATGCATACCTCTTGGAAACCTCCCTGTTTCCCAGACTCACTGGCACTGGGATTGTAGGCTGAAACTCCCCGAATCCATATCTAAAATCCAGTCACTTTTTGATCAAATTGATGGTTGGGGCTTTTAAGTTTCAAGGACAGTTTGAAGCTTTGCTAGTTACTGATGTCAGTAATCCCAGCACTTATGAGACTAAGGCAGGGGGATTTCTATGACTTGACTAAGGCAGGGGGATTTCTATGACTTCCAGGACAACCTGGTCTACATAGTGAGGTCTCAAGGCTATGAGGTGAGACAATGCCTCAAAGCAAAACAAACAGAGAAGATTGGGTGAGGTGATGAAGACCTTTGGTCTCAGGACAGAAGAAATGAAGGCAGGAAGCTGAGAAGTTCAATGTCATCCCTGGCTATGTGCTAAATAGCAAGTTTGAGACCAGCCTAAGGTACATGAGAAATCTAGAATAAGAAGAAAAGAAATAAGGAAGAAAAGAAAAGACAGAAGTATTCTCCAATGCAGTCTCAATGGGTATATCAATCACACTTTGAAGCAGACCTACTCTGGGGAGAAACTGGACAACACAAAGTTATCTCAGTGGTATCTTTTTGGACTTTTTGTTTCATATAGCTTTACTTTGTCTTTTTTGGGGAGGTCTTCTTGTGTTTTGATTGTTTGATCTCCAGTTTTGTGCTTCTTACTTTTATTTTTGGATTTTTTGAAAGAGAAAGAAGAGCATAAAGTTGGGTGGGGAGGGATGTGGGGAAGATACAGAAGGAACTGGGATAGAGTAAAACCTGATTAAAATATATTGTGTGAAGTTTTTTTTATTTAAAAGAATTAAAAAAGGAAAGAGCCATTTAACAAGAGGAATGCTTGATACAACCATCAAGTACTCAAAATACCCTCTGTTAGGTATATCAGGGGCTGCAGAGATGGCTCAGAGGTTAAGAGCACTGACTGCTCTTGCAGGGGTCCTGAGTTCAACACCCAGCAACCACATGGTGGCTCATAACCATCTAAAATTCAATCTGGTGCCCTCTTCTGGCATGCAGGCAGAACACTGCATATGTGATGAATAAATAAATCTTAAAAAAAGAGAGATATATGAGCTTGCCTGAATTAAAACTTCCCAAAAGGTAGTGCTTTTCCCTTTTGCAGATTTATGCATGGCCATGGCTTGTATTAGTATTTATTTTACCTTGACTAGATTTTTTATTTTTGTTCCAATATATTTTTATTTAAATTAGAAACATGCTTGCTTCACAAGCCAATCCTAGTTCCCTCACACACCTCTCCTCGCTTGTCACTACACCAGCTCCCCAACCCCCCACCCAATCCCCACACCATTTTCCAGGGAGGGTGAAGCCAGAGTCTGTCATTTCATCCAGGGCAGGACCTGGGCCCTCCCCCATGTGTCAAGGCTGAGAGAGCATCCCTCCATGTGGAATGGGCTCCCAAAGTTCATTTGTATGCCATGGTAAACACTGATCTACTACCCAAGGCCTCAGAGATCGCTGAGCCCTCCTCACTGACACTACATTCAGGGGTTGGAATCAGTTCCCTGCTGGACTTGCAGCCATCAGCCTTGGATCCAAGAGCTCCCCCTTGTCATGTCAGCTGTCTTTGTGGGTTTCACCAACCCAATCTTGACCCTTTTGCTCATCACTCCTCCCTCTCTGTCATAGGGTTCCAGTTCAGTTCAGTATTTAGCTGTGGGTATCTGCTTCTGCTTCCATCAGTCACTGGATGAAGGTTCATGTTTGTCTTTTTGTGACTGTGTTACCTCACTCAGGAGGGTTTCTTCTAGTGTCATCCATTTGCCTGCAAATTTCAAGATTCCATTGTTTTTTTTCTACTGAGTAGTACTCCATTGTGCAAATGTACCGCATTTTCTCTATCCACTCTTCAGTTGAGGGGCATATAGGCTGCTTCCAAGATCTGGCTATTACAAATAATGCTGCTATGAACATAATGGAACAGACACCCATGTTGTATGAATGTTCACCTTTTGGGTATATACCTAAGAGAGGAATTGTGGGTCTTGTGGTAGACTGAGTCCCATTTTCCTCAGGAATGTCCATACTGGTTTCCAAAGTTGCTGTAGAAGTTGGCACTCCCACCAGCAATGAAGAAGTGTTCCCCTTTCTCCTTTCTCCACATCCTTTTCAGCATAAACTGTCATTGGTCTTTTTGATTTTAGTCATTCTAACAGGAGAAAGATGACAACTCAGACATTTTAATTTGCTTTTCCTTAATGGCTAAGGATGTTTAGCACTTTCTTAATTGTCACTCAGCCATTTTAAATTCCTCTATTGAGAATTATCTATTTAGTTCTGTACCCCAATTTTAATTGGATCTTTTCTTGTTTTGGAGACTTGTTTCTTGTGTTCTTTGTAAATTTTGGAGATCAGAAGTGGGGTTAGTGAATATCTTTTCCCATTTGGTGGACTGCCTTTTTGTCTTGTTGACTGTGTCCTTTGCCTTGCAGAAGTTTCTCAGTTTGAGCCAGGATAGCCAAAACAACCCTGCTCAACAAAGCAATGTCCAGAGGCATCATCATCCCTGACTTCAAGTTCTATTGTCCTGAAAACAGCTTGGTATTGGCACAAAAATAGACAGATAGACCAACAGAATTGAATTGAACACCCTGACATTAACCCATACATGTACAAATACCTAATCTTCCACAAAAAACCTAAGATTATACAATAGAAGAAAGAAAGCTTCTTAAAAATGGTGATGGCATAAGTGGATGCTGGCATTCAGAAGACTGCAGATAGATCAATGTCTATTGCCATGCACAAAACTCAAGTCCAAATGAATCAAAGACCTCAACATAAATCCAGCCACACTGAACCTCTTAGAAGAGAAAATAGGAGATACCCTTGAACAAATTGGTACAAGAGACCACTTCCTGAATATAACACCAGTAGCACAGACACTGAGATCGACAAGTAATAAATGGGACATCCTGGAATGGTATTCTTAGCTACTGTTGCTGGGCTTATGTTATTATTTTGTTTCATCCTTCCTTCCTTCCTTCCTTTCTTTCTTTCTTTCTTTCTTTCTTTCTTTCTTTCTTTCTTTGTTACTAGATTCATGAACTCATCTGTGACCCAAACATGTAGTTGGTATTTTTTGTCCTACCCAAACTACAACCACTCTGTTGTGAATATTTAGTTAATCTGTACACAAATTTCATGGAAGAATAAGAAATAACCTGAAAATTCTCAAAAGGAAAGCCTTCCCAGAGGAGTTCCAGCCCATGTTCTCTGCAGGAAACTAACTATGCCTTGGTAGTATCACCTTGTCGTGTTCCTCCTGCATCCCCTCTCGGAGTGCCTCCTGGGTGTCCCCTTTGCTTGTCTTCCAGAAGGGAGAGTCACCAGAAGATTGGCAGCCTATGATCACTGAAGCTGCCTATTCTCAGCAAGTCCAACAAGGAGTCCTGTGCCAGGGGGTCACATCAAACACAAGGGACCCAGACAGCAAGGCTGCAGCCGGAAGCCAAAGGATGGCATGTTCAGTGCAGAGACATAGGTGAGAGCCAAATATTGGGCAGCATCGAGCCAGGCATGCCCTGTGTGGGTTTTGGTAGTAGAGGAAGTTCTGGCCACAATCAAGGCTGGAGTAGGTGGTGCTGGCTGTTCTTGCCTTTTTCCTTGAATGAGCAGTCCAGGAAATAGCTCTCCCTTTTGAACAGTGCCACGCCACTGCCCCACAGACTCCTTGAGCTGGCAGTTGGTTGGCTGCCAAGTAAGAGGCTCCTTGGAATATTAGTGAGCAATTGTCTGAATTGAGCATGGGGTGGGTGAGCACTTGTATATTGCTGGACATTGGTTGGGAGCTGCATAATGTAAGGCAGGGTCTGGGTCAAGCAAAGACTGAGGAAGGGATAAGGGCAGGGATGGATGGAAAGACAGCTTCCAGGGCACAGGGGGAGTGCAGAAGGTAGCCCTGTATTATTGATGGGTGCATAAAAGTAGCAAGAGTGCAGCTTGGCTTTTATTACAAAATCTCATTGACTTTTATTTCAATATGAACATCTGTTAAACAACAACAATAAAACTGAAACAATGAGATGAAAGAAACAATAGGGAATACAAAGTCCCTCCAGGAGAGTTTGAGTTAAGTTCTCAGCCTGGCTATCAAGCTGTCCTGTGACAGTGTCATCCCCACCTGCTGCCCACTGCACTCCTCTTCCAAGCCCTCAAGGGCACCTCTTTGTCTCATTCCTAGAGATGGAGAGGTGTTTAAAGATGGCAGGCACTGGCAGGGGTCCTGGCTGGGGGACTTTGAACTACAGACACTGCTGAATTCAGCAAGCCTCTCAGGTAGCTATAGAGGTCCCACAGGGAGTTTGGGCAGGTGGTGATGAGTGAATGGGTAACTCTGACAGAGTTTTAGCAAGTGAAAGCCTAAGGGCTCTGAGGGCAGCAGGTGGCCCACAGGCCCAGCTGCTGTCTGAGGTAGCAGGAGATGCTGTGGGTCAGGATGGAGTGCTATGTGTTAAGGCTGTTCAACTCCTGGCCCCAGGCAAAGGTGTTACTGGCATAAGAGGAGGCCAAGAAGGCAAACATGGGCCTCCAGGAGTCAGCAGGTCCTCTGCTTTCCCAGGAACCCAGAGAAGAACAGATGCCCTGGAAGCCTCTCAATAGAGGTGCAGGTAGTGAGTGGGCCCTAAGGCCATGAAGGCCTCTGAGGTGGAGTAGCTAGAGCTCTGTGGCTGCCTGAGGGAAGTGCAGCTTTGTGACAGCAACTTTTTCTCCAGACCAATACTCCTAACCCCAACCAGGCATCTGGAGTTGGCCAGACAGGAAATCTCAGAAATTGACTGGTGAACAGCTTTGCCCATGATTGGGGGGGTGGGGATACAAACTCAGGCAGACTGGGTCACTCTGAAAGATCATGGAGTGTGATACCTCCTAACCCCCATGGGACTATGGTCTCTCAGTAGGGGTTGAGAATCAAATGGCAGCAAGAGCCTGAGGGACAGAAGCCAATGGTGGAACTCTTGGTGCAGCTCTAGCTTGTACTTGGGATGATAAGTAAGGCTGCTCAGCTAATGGAACCCAGGGGAAACTGTCACTTCTCCCCTTAATTGAAAGTTCACAAGTTTAGGAGGAGTCCTCTGAACAGCAGGTCTGGATCAAGGAATTAGGATGAGTTCTTGAAGCAAAAGGAAGTCTGGGGCATGAGGAATGTGGGGCTGTCTAACAACAGCTGTGACTCCAGGTCCCATCTTCTGCTGGTGGCCCTATGGGACACTTGAGAAACTGAGGCTGTGGTGCAGTTTAGGCCAAGGCTCTCAGGCAAAGTCCAGGTGCAGTGGGTCCTGAACTAAAAACTAAAACCAAAACCTCAAGGTCCCAGAAACCCCGATCCTCAACCCTCCCTTGTGGCTCGGGCTGCATCTTTACTGCTAAGGTCTTTTTCTGGATGACCAGCTCCTTCTGCTTTCACTGGGACTGCAGATTTCCCTCCAGTCTCTGCTGCTCCTGTTCATTAGAAGATTGTGTTCTTAGAAAAGAGTTGAGCATAGGCATGAATTCACTCTAACACAAGTGCAAGCACAAACAGAGGATCTCAAGCAAGCTTCTCTGAAGGAAGAGGACAGAGACTGACAAACCAAGTGGTCTCCTCTACCTGCCATCTACATGCACAGGGTATTACACCCCTCACTTTCCTCCACTGCCCTCTCTAGGTGCTTGCATACATGCACCTGGGCACACAAACACAGACATGGATAAATAGATAAACAGAGAGACAGAGCGAGGAATAGAGGGAGAAAGAAAGAGAGATAAAGACAGAGTCAGCCAAGGAGGGAGGGAGGGAGGGACGAGAGAGAGAGATAGAGAGACTCAGAGAGAGAGAGAGAGACTCAGAGAGGGAGAGAGAGGTCAAAAGAGGGCAAGCAGCTAACAACAGATGAGCACACAGCAGCTCTTTCAGAAGAGTCCAATGACTCTGATCTGCATCCCTTGGGACTGAAATTGCATATGGGAACATTTTCTGCTTGGCCACACTGTACTGAGCTGGTAGGAGAACTTTTTTTCTTGAAGTCTCAGATCTCCCACTGCAACTCTAAGCCTGTTATCCAGGCCTTTCCACATCCCTGGACAACCTATCTTCTCCATAGAATAATCTCTGTGATAGGAGAACTTGCCAAGGAAACAAACAAAACACGGCTGACAAATCCCACTGGAGGTTCTGTCAGGGTGAACCAAGTTTTATGCATGGGTAAGAGACTACCTTGGATTACAGAGAATATAAGGATGAAAGGCCAAATGCCATACCATGAGACATTTGACATGTGCACTGTGTTCTTTTCCTGGCAAGCTGCTTCCCCTGCCCCCACTGGATCTCCTGGAACTTTGCAAATCAGATAAGCCACAGGAAATGGAACTAACCCCCTCAAGTCTATACAGAGCACCACTCCCATCACAATGAGATTCACGACTGTGAAGTTTCATGGACCCATCATCCTGCTTGAACTGCAGCTTTGAGTAGAGCAGCAGGGTTTGTTTGCCAATTGATACTCACAAGAGAGTGACTCCACAGAACTACTGATGCATGGACACAGAAATGAACAGATGGATGTCATTAAAGCAGAGGATGGTGAGTGTGTGTGTGTGTGTGTGTGTGTGTGTGTAAAGTTCTAAGATAAACCACAATTGTGTTGATGGACAGACAGCCTTATGCTCCATGAAGAAATAAAGATGGACCTAACCCTGACTCAGCTGCTTTTCTCTACCTCATGCTCCTGGGTCTGGAGGTCTCTAATGACTTGTTCTTGGTCCATACAGGTGACTTTCAATTCTCCCAAATAGTGCTACAGCAAGATCCATTTCCCTAGCCCCTTCTTGGTCTCTTGCCTCAGCTTTTCCACTACATACTGCACCTGAGTCTTCTCCATCTGGAGTCGGTACTGCACATTGCTGGAAACACTCTTGACCCTATTCCTACCACCCTTGCATCCATAACCCATCATTCCAACTGGTCCTCAGGTTCCCAAAGGAGACAGAGACAAGAGGCCAATGCAGCCATGATACCTGCTCTCAGAAGGCCAAATGTACAGAACAGGAAATCCCGGAAAGAATCAAACTATTTCCAAATATGCCAACAACAGAAGACATCCAAGTATCTCTACTAATGTGAGTGGGTCCTTCAATGCCCTTAACTGACTATGGTAATGGAGCCACATCAGGAGGTAGGGGACAAATCCACTCAGAAGGATATCAGGAGACCCAAGGAGTGTAGAGGTCCCATGGGGGGCAATAGGCAATCAGAAACTTCCTGATACCAATCTCATGGTGCAAAATGTTCCTCTACCTAGAGAAGTGGTCCTCAAACTATGGGTCATGACTCCTTTGGTGATGGCATTACTCTTTCAATGGGTGGCATCTCAGATTTCCTCCATAATAGATTCTTAAATCATGATTCATAACAGTAGCAAAATTAAAATTATGAAGTAGGAGGAAAAATAATTTCATGATTAAACATCACCAAAACATGAAACAACTCATAATCCACAAGTTATTAGATTAAGATTACCATTCATGGGATAGGCATATTTTAGGTCATTTTTACTGTGGAGAAATCACACATGAGAAACTGATAACCCAGGATTAGTGCTCCAAACATCCAGTCTCAGCTGCTTGCTGACACCCAACTGTAACCCCAAGAGAGAGCTTGCCTTTCTCTCCTAAGGCCTATATCCCACACCCCTGTGAACCTGTGGCCATGCCCAAACAGGTGTGGTCAGCACCACAGGTACATAGTAAAATCCCTTCCTACAATTCTCCTTTTATTCTAAGCAAAAGATTTACACTTAAAACAAAACTTATTACAAAGGTGGAAAAATTCAAATATGCCCTAAGAGAAGGAAAAGTAGGAACATTAACTCTCAAGTTATACAACCAGTAAAACATCAAGAGCAAATGGTAAGACATACATATCCAGTCCTAGGTTATAGGCATAACACAGATTACTATAAAGATGTTCTAACCTGGAAAGTTGAAGTCTTGTACCTAATAGTTCTATCTAGGGAGAGAGAACAATAATTGTGACAGTCTAATCTTCAACCTCATCAAAGACCTAAGAAGGAAGACAACAATACTAGAGTAGACAGGAAGCACAGGGGAGCAGCTTCCAAACATGCAGGGAAGACAGAAACAGCAGGATACCTAGGCAGTCACCCAAAGTCTCACAGCAGTGTAGGGGCAACCAGCTTTGACTAAAGCCTAGAGTATCAGACTGCCTTACCCTAACTTGTCAAGCTTCAGCCCTCTTCTAATTTATCTCCTGCAAGCACAGTAGGACAGCATGTCCAAAGTCATCTGGCAAAATGGGGACAGTTATTTGACCAAGATGCCATTATCTGAGGAGATAACAGACTCTAGCAGAGTGACATCGGTGCCTAACATTTTCTCGGGAATAGCTAGCTTATGTTGTTGGGAGCAATAGTGTCTCATGTCAACAGAGTATTAGTATTAAATATTTAAATGTCATATTCAATAGTGTCTCATGTCAACAGAGTATTAGTATGAAATATTTAAATGTCATATTCTGCAGGTCTATGACATGTTTGAAGATCAAAATCTTAGAAGGGAATTTGACAGGTACCCTTGAATGAATTGGTTCAGGTGAACACTTCCTGATCATAACACCATTAACACAGACACTGAAATCAACAATCAACAAATGGGACTTCCTGAAACTGAGAAGTTTCTGCAAGGCAAAGGACCCAGTCAGCAAGACAAAATGGCAGTCCACAGAATAAGAAGATATTCATCAACTCCACATCTGACAATGTGTTGATTTCTAAAATATACTAAGAAGTCAGGAAGCTAGCCACCAAAATGCCAAATGATCAAATTAAAAATGGAGTGCAGAACTATATAGAGAATTCTCAGTAGGAGAATCTAACATGGCTGAAAGACACTTAAGAAAGTACTCAATATCCTTAGCCATTAGGAAAATGCAACTAAAAACAACTCTGAAATACCATCTTACACTGGCCAGAATGGCTAAAATAAAAAACACCAATGACAGTTTATGCTGGAGAACCTGGAAGCAACCTAGATGCCCCTCAAGTGAAGAGTGGTTAGAGAAAATGTGGTGTGTTTACACAATGGAGTACTAGTCAGAGGGAAAAAACCAATGGAATCTTGAAATTTATGGGCAAATGAATGGATGGCACTTTAAGAAACCCTCCTGAGTGAGGTAACCCAGTCACAAAAAGACAAACATGGTGTATACTCTCTCATATATGGATTTTAGATATGTATCAGGGGAGTGCCACCCTACAATCCCATTGCCAGTGAGTCTGGGAAACAGAGAGGTTCCCAAGAGAGATATGCAAGATACCCAAGAGAAGGGGAATGAAGCAAGATCTCATGAGCAGATTGGGAACATGGGGGAGGGGAAAGAGATCTGGGAAGAGGAGAGGAGGAGAAGAGGAGAGGAGAGGAAGATATGGGGAAGCAATAAGGTTGAGTCCGGCAAAGAATGGAGGAGAACAGGATGAGAGATACTATAATAGAGGGAGTCATTATAGGTTTGAGGAGATAGCTAAACTAGTGGGATTTCCAGAGATCTACAAGGTTGACACCTACTGGCAAACTATGCAATAGTGGGGACACTACCTTAAATTCCCCTCACTGATAATGAGATTGATGACTACCTTATATGCCATCCTATAACCTTCATACAGTAACTGATGGAAGCAGAGGCAGATACCCACAGCTAAACACTGAACTGAACTCCTGGAACCCAGTGACAGAGTGGGAGGAATGATGAGCCAAGGGGTCAAGACAGTGCTGGTGATACCCACAGAGACAGCAAACCTGACAAGGGGGACCTCTTGGACCCAAGACTGATGACTGAGAGGCCACCATGGGACTGATCCAGGTCCACATGAATAGGGTGTCAGTGAGGAGGCCTAGGCAATCTCTGGGGCCTTGGGTAATAGATCATTGTTTACTATGGCATATGAATGAACTTTGGAAGCCCCTTCCATATGGAGGGAACCTCTCTCAGCCTGGGCACATGGGGATGGGCTTAGGCCCTGCCACAGATAAAGTGACAGACTCTGAAGATTGCTCATGGAGGGCCTCACCCTCCCTGGAGAATGGTGTGGGGATTGGGTGGGTGGTTGGAGGGTCTGGTAGAGGGGCAAGGGAGGAGGTGTGAGAGAGGGAGCTGGGATTGACATGTGAAACAAGCATGTATCTAATTTAAATAAAAATATATTGTGAAAAATATTTACAGGCAAAACTTAACAAAAACTCACTCCTGTGTATTGTTACTACACTCGTGTGAAACTTCACCAAAATTCACTGATGTGCAGTGTTACAACATTCACATGTGAAACTTAAGAAAACTCACTCATGTGCAGTGTTACAATATTCACATATGAAACTTAAGAAAAACTCACTAAGCCAGGCGGTGGTGGCCCACGCCTTTAATCCCAGCACTCAGGAGGCAAAGGCAAGTGGATCTCTGTGAATTCGAGGCCAGGCTGGACCAAAGCCTCCAAAACAATACAGAGAAACCCTGTCTCGTAAAAAAAAGAAAGAAAAACTCACTAATGTTACTTTTTACTGCACACATATATGAACATTAACAAAAACCCACTATTTATGCAGAGTTATAGCACTCACATATGAAACTTAACATAAACTCACTAATGGGCAGTGTTACAATATTCACATGTGAAACTTAGCAAAAATTCAATAATGTGCATTTTTTCAGCACTCAAAGTGACAATTGACAAAATCTCCCACATGAGCATTGTTACTCACTTATTTAGGTTCATGGTTTTCCAGAGGGTTGAGACCACCATGGCAAAGAGGGATAGCATCAAGTGGCAGGCATGGTGACAGGAGCAGACGTTGGGGCATACATCTTTAGCCATAAGCACCAAGTAGAGAGAGCAAATGGAGAGTGGAGGAAACCTTTTGTTCTCAACACCCACCCCTTAAGGATGGCCACACGTCTTAAACTTCACCCAAATAGTACCACCACCTGGTCACTAAGTCTTCAGATGATCAAAATTGTAGGAGACATTTCTCATTCAAGCCACCACATGAAGGAAGGAGATCCAGGGAGTTTGCAGAAGAGGGTTGGGGACTCACCTAGGTGATTGTGTGACTGTGTGAATGTGCCCTTAAGGCTCCCTGTCTGTTTGCATTTGGCTATGCATCTTCATGCACTTTGAGAGCAAATAGAGGGGCTTGTGGGGTTCCTGGCCTACAATAAGTGATAGACTTATTGACTCCAAGGATGCAGTGCTCACTGGAGGGAAACAACAACTTCCCCATTCTTGAACCTGAAGGAGTTCCCTGGGAAGGGTTCAGAGATAACTCAAAGTGAAGACATCACCATAGCCCTCCTGGCTTTTTTTCACCTGAAGGTACCTGATTGCAGTGAGCAAGCACAAGGAGTCAGAGTGGTGTAGTAGCAGCCTCTGCAAACAGAACAACCTCAGAATGCCCCCTGTAGTGAAAGACCCCTACCCAGGACCCCCTGGGAAAAGAAAAGCAAGGCCAGGCTGTTACCTAATGAAAGAAACCCAGACCAGGTGCCTCGCCCAGCTGGCAGGATGTCAAACAGGATCTGTGGTCACCAGAGCAGTCATAGGACCCGGATAATAATTGCTGAAGCATGCCAGGGTCTTTTATGTGGCAATACCAGGACACCTAGTCTTTGGCAACTACCCTT